CACCTTGCTGGCGCCTGGCAGCAGATTGGCCTTGACGTAAGCGTCCACGGAGCCTGAGGCGGGTGGCTTGAGTCCCTGGGAACAGACAGTAGGTGTGGGCATGCCGGAGGGCAGGCCAGTGGCCCAGGGTCCCTGCGACATCCTCACCTTGGCACAGTGGGCTGTGCAGTGCAGGGCGCTGTTGTCCTGGTCAAAGATCAGTGTGAACTCGAGGGTGCCCGGGCCAGCTGAGGGCAGGTGGCAGGCAGGTTAGCCCCTCGGCTCGCCACTCCCACCCCCCACCACCACCCAGGGCTGTGCCCTTGCCCTGCCCCACTCACTGCTGTCGTCTGAGTCCCCCTCGGGCTCCAGGTCGGGCTGAGGTGCGGGGCGAACGGCGGGGGTGGCGGGGCGCGGGCCGGGGGCGCGCAGGGTGGGCTGGGCAAAGGGGTAGAAGTGCGGGAAGTAGTCGGAGATGAGGCGGATGGGCCGGATGGGGCCCGGGCTCACGTCGATGCCCATGTGCTCCTGCATGGAGACGCGCGGGGCCCGCCGCCGGCTCGCTGCCGCCGAGCCCGCCATGGGGGCGCGGACATGGGAGGCTCAGAGACGTTCCCGAGGGCCAGGGACCGGGGGAAGGGACCCGGCCGCTGGGACCAGACGACCGCGCATCGCCGGGGGCGCCGGCACCTGCAGAGAGAGCACAGGGTGACGGCCGCAGGGGCGGGGCACCAGGTGGGGGCGCTCCAGCCTGGGGCCCAGGGACTCCGGCGGCTCGCGGGTCAGGCCGGCGGGGCCACTCACCGCCCGAGAGCCGCCCGCAGCCGGCGCGGTTCGCGGCTGGATGCCGGGTGTGCGCTCGGTGCAAAGCGGTGACCCGTGTGAGCTGATGTGACCGACGGTCCCTCCCCAGGGGTCCGTCCCCCGATCACCCACCTTCCTTCAGCCTCGTTCGCTCAGCCCCAGTCACACGCTCCCCCCTCACACGTCCTGTACACGAGTTATTTTTACCCCCGTCATGTGGCCCTGGAGGCTGGAGGGCCAGGGGTGAGAAATGGGGCGTGGGGGACGACGGGAGGGGCGGTGTGGAGGAGGGGAAGGTATACAGGGATCGGAGGAGGTCTGGAGGGGGTCGTGGAGGAGGGCGGGGTGCGGGGAGGAGGGGGTCGTGGAGGAAGGGCGGGGTGCGGGGAGGAGGGGGCCGTGGAGGAGAGCCGGGGTGCAGGGAGGGGTCGTGGAGGAGGGGCGGGGTGCGGGGAGGAGGGGGTCGTGGAGGAGGGCGGGCTGTGGGGTGTGATGGAGTTTTCTATCATTTGTCATGGATGGTACTGCCCAGACCACCCTGTTCAAGACGGACCACCACCCCTCAACCCTCATGGAACTCTGGTTTATATAATTTGTTACCACGTTATTATCTGTGTAATGTACACTGTATAACTATACCTATACCTGGTCCAAGGTCTCCCCAGACTGTAAGCATCAGGACAAAGCAACATCTGGCTGCTTGCCTGCTGTGTCCCCAGCTCAGCACCCGGCACAAGGTGGGGGCTCAATGGATCAGAGCCGGTGGGCTGACTGACCCTGGGGCAGCTGGGAGTTTGGGTTCTGGAGCCAGACACCCGGTTCCAATCCCAGTGTGGGGTGACCCTGGGCAAGGTACGCATCCTCCTGGCTAGCCCAGGGCAGCACTGACCCTGCCTCGCAGGGCAACCGTGAGGGTGAGCCGAGAGCTGTGATGGCCAGTGCTGGGCACCCAGCACGCACTCAGTCAATGGCCCGACCGTGGTAAGTGTCACAGAGCGGAGGCTCCAGCCAAGAGGCCAGCTTAGTGGATTCCGCCCAGGGTCAGGGCCCCAGCACAGAAGGAACAAAAGAACAGAGGTGGAGACAGTTCTTTATTCCCTCTGGAGTGAAGCCAGCTGAGCTGGACAAAGGCAGGGGGCGCTGCTGGGAGCCAGGTCCTCAGTATCTGGGCACTTGAAAGCCGGCCAGGTGGGGCTGGTAGGTGCCTGGTGCCAGGACCTGCAGGGTGAACTCGGTGATGATAGCTGTGAGCCCCCATATGCGGTGTGGCCCATGCAGGAAGACAGGCAGTGTGTAGCGGTAGTGACCACGCTGGCAGAAGTGGGTGTAACCCTGATTCCGTGCCTGCAGCAGGTGGGCCACAGGTAGTGTAAACACCTCATCCACCTGTGGACAGGGGGCAGAGGGAGGGTGGACAGAGGACAGGCTGCCGCCACTGGGACGGCCCAGCCCCCAGCGTGCCCATGCTCACCTCATCCAGGTTGGGCCTGAGGCTCCGAGGATCCAGGGGGCCCACACTGGCAAGCACAGGTGCCACGGAGGTCTTTTGCTGAGGCAGGAGGAAGGCAGGCCATCAGAGGGAGGCGGGGGCCTTGGGCCTGGGGGAGAGGAGCCTGGAAGAAGGCCCATCTTGCTTCCAGAGGCCACAGCCCCACCCCTAAGCTTCCTCCAGCCATGCCGACTGACTCAGGCCCCCCAGGGCACTGGACCGGTCCAAGCCTCCTTTCCAGGCCTCTGGTCCTTTCTACGTGGATTCCTCCACTTAGAACAACCTGCCCTTACCCTTCATTATTCCAAAATCTCCTGCTGTCATTCAAGCCCCGACCCAGTCCGGGGCTGCACAGTGAGGCCTTCACACCAAGTTGAGCAGCTCACCCCTTCACCCACCACTGACCTGAGCCTCAGTATCTATTTCTGTCAAAAAACCAAATGCACTGCTGGCCAGTTAATTCCAACTCCTAGTGACCATTAGGACAGAGTAGAACTGCCCCCATGGGGTTTCCAAGGCTGTAATCTTTATAGAAGCAGACTGCCATATCTTTCTCCTGTAGACCTGCTGGTGGGTTCAAACTACTGACCTTTCAGTTAGTGCACAAGCACCTAACCAATGCACCACCAGGGCTCCTTCCTGAGCCAGCAAACAAACAAACAAAACAAACAAACTCACTGCCCTCGAGTTGGATCCGACTTACAGCGACCGCTCCTTGGGTTTCTGAGGCGGTATCACTACGGAAGTAGATTGCCCAATCTTCCTTCTGAGGAATGGCTGGTGGGTTTGAACCACCAGCCTTCTGGTTAGCAGTCAAGTGCCTTAGGCGCTACGCCACCAGAGCGCAGGAGGATAGAAATACCTGTCCCAAAAGCTGTCGTAGGTATGAAACAAGTGGATGCCAGGCAGGTGCTGGGCCGCTCTACCTGAGCTGGCATCCACGACCCCTCCCCCAGTCCCTGGAGTCCTGCCTCCCAGCCCAGAGCTTCATGGAACAGATGAGTGTATGGGCTCAGGCTGGCCGTGGCCTTGACCTGGAGGGCTCACCTGGTCGAACACGGGGTGCAGGATCCCCCACACATGGTGCTCAGGAACGGCCAGACCCAGCTCCTCCAGGGTCTCCCGCAGGGCAGTGTGCACCACATCCTGGTCATCAGGGTCACACTTGCCGCCTGGGAAACTGGGCCCGCACAGGGGGCTGGTCATCAGGTTGTTAGGGCCACAGAACGGTAGGGGTCTGGGATGCTGGTGGCGGTGGCAAAGGGCCCACCTTAAGGACACTCTGCCTCTGTCCTTGGCTTGCACTGAGGCCGTGGGCAGGTCACGTGATCTCTGGGGGCTCAGTTTACCTCCCTGAGGAAGGGGTGACTCACAGAGGCCCTCTCAGCCCTGGGCAGGGCTAAGGCCCTAGCAGATAGCGCAAGAAGGGCCTACAGTTCAGACACTCAAATGCTGCCTATGGTAGACCCAGAGGCGCTGACATTGACCCCACAGGGTGCCCCCAATTTCCAAGGGGGCGGGGAAGATGCAGGAGGCAGCAGCCTTGACGTGCCCTAAACCTCTCCACATTCGCCGGCAGGGGGCGGCGTCCCGCCTTTTAGAGAGACGAAAACGGCTCAGAGGCATTCCCAGCCGGAGTGGCAGAGGACAAACTGCGAGGGCGGGGCGCCAGGTTCGGGGCCGGAGTACGCAGGTCGCTAACTCCTCGCCGCAGCCCAGGAGCGCATGGGCGTTCACGGACCCTTTATGCAGAGGCGGACACGGAGGGGCGGAGAGCTTAAGTGCCTGCCGCCCCCAGGGCTCTGCCGCCTCCTACAGGGCAGGGAGGGAGTCCCGGCCGTGTACCTGACGTCGCCTTTGTGCCTCCCGGCCAGGCGACTGGACCGCAGCGTGTAGAGCAGTGCCGGGGCCCCGCGCACCAAGCACAGCGCCACGAGCACCGCGGCTCCCGCGGGCCGCGCACGGTACCGAGCCGTGGCCCGCGCCAGCAGCTGCCGGCAGCGCCGCTCGCCCTCCGCCGACAGGCAGTCGGGCACCATGTCCGGCCCGGCGTGGCCGGGACAACCAGCGCGCGGCCCCCAGAGAAGTTCGGTCTTCAGGCCCCGCCCTTCCTACCACGTGGTGCTCCGGAATGGGAGGGGGCGGTGCCTGCGCGGTGGGCGGAGCCTGCGCGCTAGCCGGGGCTGGACCCCAGACTCGCATTGAGATGCCGCCGGGCGGGACCTGGAAGGGAATCGAAGGCGGAGACATGGTTAAAGGCGGGGCCTAGAAAGGAGCCTCCAATCGAAATGAGGGGGCGGTCCCGGGAGGAGCGGGCGGGCTCGGAAAGGGATTGGTCCTATGGGACTGGGGAAGAGCCTGGGTGGGGCGGAGCCTGGGGAAGGGCGGGGCCTGAAGGGGAGGGGCCTGGGACGGGCGGAGCCTGGATGAGAGAGGCCTGAGAGGGAAGCGGCGGCGGTGGAGCTGGGGAGATCTGGGAAGTGTCGTCCAGGTCCTTGAACTGCTCGGCCGCGCAAGGCCCGGCGACCCGATCCAGCCCTTCCGACCGCAGGGTGCGGGAGTCTGGCTTTTGGGGCCCTCCCGGACCCCGCGTTCCCCTCCCCTACGTGTGTCCTTCCCTCCGCAAAGCTGTGCAGACTCGGCATCTGGGAGGCCTACGGGGGCCAAAGACGGGCCGGGAGCCGCGGGAGTCGCTCCCTCTCGGAGCCGCTGGGTGGCGCGCCAGCTCCCAGCCTGGTCCTTCAGCCCGGCTTCAGCCGCCAGGCCTTTGCTCAGCCTTTCTTTCCCAGGGCCTGGAGCTCTTCCCCTACGCCCCCTCACCGTTCCTTCTTCCTTAGGAGTCGGTTTAAATGGCACTATCTCTAGGAAGGGAGTTCTGTTGGCCTAGTGCATAAGGCACTTGACTGCTAACCAGAAGACTGTAGGTTCAAACCCACCAGCCACTCCTCAGAAGGAAGGTTGGGCAATCTACTTCCATAGTGTTACCTCCTTGGAAACCCAAGGAGGGGTTGCTAGGAGAAGGCAGCGAGTTTGATTTTGTTTGTTATGTATAGGACGCTCTCCTGCCTTAAGCCTTCATTGGACTCCAGATCACTCCGTGATGGTCAGTGCCTTTGGGGGTTCTACTTTGGACCTCGCTCCTCAGAGGCCAGACGACCCTTCTGCGTGCAGCAGCTACACACAGAGTGGCAGGGGGTGCCCCAGCTTTGCTAGAGCAGGCAGGTGCCACGCAGTTGGGTATCACCATCACCGCATGCTCCCCCACCACCCCGGATGTGGATGGCAGTGGCCAGAGGCTTGGGATGTCACAGGGCTGATGGGGTCTGGCCTGGGTCTGCGTGTCCCCGAGGCCCTCCCATCCCAACCCCTGAAGACAGAAGTGCTCTGACCACCCATGCCAAATGGTTTAATGTTGGGGGGCAGGGAGGGAAGGGAGCAAGATCTGGGGGGGTCAGTCCCAAAGAGGGAGGCGGTGGGAGTCTCTGTCCCTGGGATGGGAGGCAGGAGGCCTGGTTCCAAGCCTGGCATGACCCCAGCCTTGTGTGCCTCTGGGCAGGGAGCCTTGCTCTCTGGGCGTCCACAGAAAGGGTCTCTGCCAGGTAGGGCTGGAGGGAGCGGGGCACGGTCTGTCGCCCTCTCCAGGGGGGACTCTGTCCATGGGTCTTCATCACTGTGGCTCCTGGTGAGGCCCCAGGCACACAGAGGTGGGGGACAGGAGCCCCAGCCCTTCTGGGAGGGGCAGTCTCCCTTGATCCCTGTCAGCTTGGATCTTGGGGAGAGGATACGGTGCTGATCTGGCCCTCGGGACTCCGAGGGGGCTTGGAGCCCCAGGGTACAGGCTTTGGTAGATGGCCGGGGTGAGCACGGTCTCAGGGGGAGCCAGCAGCTGATGGTGGAGCCGAGCAGAGGTCCTTGAGGTGGAGGCTGGGGCTTTGTTGGGGTCTGAAGGAGGAGATGGTCTGAGTGGGCCCCAGACTTCCCCCCACACCTGCAGCCCTCATCCTGGGCTTGCCCTTTCCTGGTTCCCACTCCGCCCACCCCAGGAAGCTGCCTCGCAGCCTTTGCCGATGCTTTCCGTCTGTCCAAGCCCTTCCCAGTCCCCCCAGGCCCAGCTCCAGAACCACCTCCTTCAGGAAGCCCACCTGACACTCCCTGTCCTGTTCTCTCTGCTCCGGACCCCATATTGGCTTAGAACTCTCTGCCCTCCCCCACCCCGTGTCCACACAGGTGCCCAATGGCACTGTTCAGTGTGGGAAGCCCCTCCCTGGTGGCCTCGTGGCCTGTCTCCTTGTGTCTTCTCACCAAGCTGTGGTCCAACTGTGTCAGTGGCCTGGGGACTGGCTGGCTGGGACCGGGCTGAGGGCTTACCTTTCTCCTGCTCTGTGGGGCCCTTCAGCGGGCAGGAACTCAGGCTGCTTCGACTTTGGGCCGGGACACTGAGCAGGGGCCGTGGGGACACAAGCCTGAGATGGGGCAGGCAAGAGTGAGGTAGTTAAGGTGAAGAACCCAGGGTAGCCATCATGGGCAGAGTCAGGTGGTGGGACCCAGGAAGTCAGTGGGCACGGGACCAGAGTCAGGAGCCGAGGGTAGGCCCTGAGGGTGGCCCACCAGAGTCTTAGGAGAGCCCTGGGAGGGGCTGGGGCAGGGCTGTTGTTGGGCAGAGCCGGCCAGGGCTGGAAGGTACCAGGAATCCGGATCACTGTCTCTAAAGCCTTTGGCAAAAGGGTTGCTGGCAATTTTCAGCTGGGTGATCTGCAGAGAGAAGAGAGTTAGATTAGTGCAGGCATCCCCAAACCAGGGAGAGGCTGTGGGGTGCAGCCCAGCCACTCTATCCTCCCTAGACCCCCAATCAGAAGGCCCTAGGACCCAGGCCTTTTGGCCCAGGGACCCCGAGCCAGTGGCTGTGAAGGCAGGGAAATGAGTGGGGAGATGCCCACTGAGCCCCAGTGAAGGATAGGTGGGGTCTGCCTGTCTGTGGACCAAGAGCCTGGGGCCTCAGTCTCCACCCTCAGGAAACAGGCTGGTG